TAAAAGCGAAAAGAACCGTTTTGCTTCTTAATAAAAAAGATTAAAGCTGCAAATAACGCTATTAAAAGTTCGATAAAACCTTTGTTAAGATTGTCGATAAGATAAGCTTTAATAAGTTTTAACTCGAAGATCGATATCTTATATAATAATAAGTACCGAAGCGCCTTTTCCTTTTTTTCGAAAAGCTCGATTTTATAATCGTAAGGCTTATATAGTATTAGCACGTTGCTAGCGGCTTTAAAAAACACGTATATATAATCAAAATACTCGAAAAAGATAAGAAGGTCGTTAATAAGCTTTAACAGTTCCGCTATAAAGTTAATAGCAAAGATAAAGCCGTTAGTAAAGCGTATTAACGCTACTTAATAGTTAGCTTAAGTAAAAGCAATCGTTTAACGCTTAAAGTATAACGACCTTAAGCGATTACTTAAAAGAACTTACGAGAGCGCGAAAGTTCATATAAAAGCTTAAGAGAATCTTAAAGTAATAACTTAAAATTAATAACTATCGAGTATAAAAGTCGAAAGTAGCTAAAGTTTATATACACAAAAGTAAAAGCGCTAAAGACTCGTAAACTATAGTTTATAAGTCAAAAGTAAAGAATAAATGAATACGAAAAATACGAAAGAAAAAATGAAAAAAGTAGCTTAGCGCATATAAAATGCGTTTAAAAGACTTAGCGTATCGTTATACTACTTTCTCGTCCGAAAAAAACTCGTCTTCGAGCGTTTATCTATTGCTTTATTATTATTCAAGTAATCGTAATTATCAATACCGTTCGAATAAGCCTTGATCTACTCGAAGAGCTTCGCGAAAAAGCCGAAGAGCTCTTTATATTTTAAATAAAAATCACGTATTTTAAAAAAAGCGTATATAAAATCGAAAGCGAAGTATTAAGTAAAGTTAATATCGCGGCCGAGCTAAAAAGCGCGGTACTTAAAATGCTTTTTAATTTAACGTATAACTAAAATGTTCTTTACTTCGTACTTAAGTTCGCTAATAATATTAATCGAATTAAGTTTAAAAATGATTTGCTTAAAAGTAAAGTTATTAAAAGCTTTCGTAGCCGTTCGAAGTAAAAGATTAAGTAAACTTTTATTAACTCGAAGAGCTTAAGTTTAGAGCTATTATAAACGTTATCGGTAATCTCGAACGGTCCGTTCGTAAAGTTATCGAGCTTTTTTAACGGTCGAAAAGTAAAAAACGAGCGTATATTTAATTAAACTTTATTATTAACGTCGAAGTTAATCGAGCGCTTTAATTTATTAGCTTATTTAATTATGCGGTCTTAAGCACGCTAAAAGTGCTCTTTAACGAGGTTTTAAGCTTCGAAGTAGCGGTTAACGTAAGCGCAAGCTTCGTTTTGATTAAGCTTACGAGAAAGAGTTTAATCGTTAAGTCGTTTTAAGCTTTAATTCTAAGTAGTTCGAAAAGCGTAGCTATAGATTACTTTAAAAAAAGAAAGACCGCCGAAAAAGTCGTAAAAAAGCGTTAATTAAACGAAGTCTATTATAAGAAAGAACTCACTTTAATCGTCTTAATAATAGCTTACGAAAAAACGAAAGCGCTTTTATAAGTATTAATTATAGATTTCGATCTAACCGTTAATCTCGAAATATACGGCGGTGCTAAAAGTCAGTTTAATATCGAAGATCTTATTAAATTCTTTTTAAAACTCGAACTAATATTAAAGTCTTTTATTAAAAGTTAATATTAAAAGAGCTTTAAAATACTTATAAATATAATAGATATAAAGCTTAACGAAGCTTTTAACGTCGATAGACTTATAATAAAGGATCGAGATTGCTTGCTTAAAAAAGCGGTCGATTATTATAAAAACGTTATCGTAGCTATGTTTATTTTTATTAAAGCTATAAAAATCTATAATAACGTGCTTTTAAAAGCGTAAAAAGATCGAGAAAAGTTAAAGCAAACTAAGTTTCTTATCGTAAAGCATTAAAGCTCGTTTATAAGCGTAGCAATTACGGTAATACTAATTAACGAATTTAATTATACCGTATTAATAATACTATGCTGCAAAGAGCTTATAAGTTTTATAAAAGCTAAAGTATATTATAAATACTTAATCGTAAACTTTTCGGACGAATAATAAGCGTAAGTTTTAAACGTCGAAAATTAATAAACGGCCGTCATAAAGCAGTAAGTCGCTTTTTATAATAAGTTTAATTCGTGAACCGTAATTCACGAGTAAAGACTTAGCTTTAAAAGCTTAAATTCGAAGTGTTATAAAATTAAAAGCGGTCCGATTAACTTTTAAAACTTAATTAATAACTCGGAATATCGATAAAAGCTTCGCGATCTTTTCGATAATAACAGCGGTTTTCGAAAGCGTAAGTTAATATAGCTTTTTAATTAAAAGTCGTAAGTTAACGTTATCGGCGCAAAGTAGCGTTTACAAGCGCTAAGTGCGCTTAAAGCTATTTTAAGAAAAGAGCTTTTCGATGCGACGTATTAGCGCGTTAATTAAAAAGTTATCTTTATTTAGTTTATACGTAATAATAAAGTTGTAATCGAAAAAAAGCTTTGCTTAACGTGCTTGACGAGCGTTAAAAGTCTTAGAAATCATAAAGTACTTTAAAACTTTATAATCGATAATCACTTAAACTTAATAAAAAAAGCCGGCGAGTTCGGCGCGAAAATTATTAAAAGAGCGTATAATAACTAGCATTTCTTTATCGTAAACGACGTAATTAAGCTTAGCGAAAGCTATAGTTTTAAAATAGTAAGCGACTAATAATCAATCGGAATTATGCTTTTAAAAGAAAGCTAAAGCGATTACGCCGTTAAAAGCGTTAATCTTTAGTATATAAAAGAGATTTTAATTATAATGCTATAAGATTAACGCAATAATTAAAGCGAGCTTTAAAAAGTCGAAGCTCTTTTAATATTAAAAATTAAATAAAAAAAGAACGTTAACTTTAATTAAGTGCATTAAAAGCTTTACGATTACGTCGTAATTTCGAATAAATCGGCGGTAAAAGTTACAAAATCTAAAAAAGCTTTAAACGCTTTTAACGGTTATAAAAAGCGCTTAATGCTTTATTATCGAAGTCTTATCCGGATTTACTTTTAAGCTTTCGATAAAGATAATAAAGCTTAAGTATTTTATTTTAATAATATTAAATTCGCTTTTTTTAATATCAGCTTAAAAGCTAACGTCGTCGAATCGTTAAAGAACTTAACGAACGTAGCTAACGTGCTTTAAAAGGTCGAAAAAGTAAATCAAGATATCGTTTAAATATACTATGCAAAAGATGTTTAAAAAATCGAAAAGAAAGTTATTTATATAACGTTGATAAATAGCGAGTCTATTAATTAGTCCGAATAAAAGAACCTTGCACTTATAAGCACCGTAGCGTATTCTAAATGTTATAAGCTTTTTAAAAGCTAAGTCTATCCGTATTTTATAAAAAGCTTGCCGAATATCGAGTTTCGTAAAGATTTTAGTTTTTAAAAAACGTACGAAAATCTTATCGATTAAAAAGAAAAAGTATCGATCTTTATAAATAAAGTTGTTCAGCGCGCGGAAGTCAATACAAAAGCGAAAAGAACCGTTTTGCTTTTTAGCAAAAAGAACTAAAGCTGCAAATAACGCTATTAAAAGTTCGATAAAACTTTTATTAAAATTATCGATAAAGTAAGCTTTAATAAGCTTTAACTTAAAAATCGATATCTTATATAATAATAAATATCGAAGCGCTTTCTCTTTCCTTTCGAAAAGCTCGATTTTATAATCGTAAAGCTTATATAATGCTAGCACGTTACTAGCGGCTTTAAAAAACACGTATGCATAATCGGAGTACTTAAGAAAGATAAAAGGGTCGTTAATAAGCTTTAATAGTTCCGTTATAAAGTTAATAGCAAAGATAAAGCCGTTAATAAAGCGTATTAGCGCTACTTAATAGTTAGCTTAAATAAAAGCAATCGTTTAACGCTTAAAGATTAAGCAATTAAGCTCGTAAAAAGACGTAAAAAACAGTTTTACGTCTTTTTAACGAACGATTATATAAAAAGCGTATCTCGAGACGCCGTTAATTTTAAAGTTTCTATTGATTTTATACTTAAATGTTTAGCAAAAGCGTTTAACGAATAAAAAAGGTTTTATAAAAGCGATATCGGTTAATATAAGCTTACGGTTCATCTAAGATATTGATTTAACGTAATCTTTAAAAAAAGTGTTTTTCGTAAAGCGAAAGAATAACGGCTTTACAGAAAAGTAAATAAAAGAAAAAGGTTTAACGATCTTAAAAAAAAAAGCGAAAAGAAAACGATTTTAAAAAGAAAGAAAACGATCTTAAAAAAAAAGAAGTGATTTTACAATTATCGTTGCTGCTTAATCTACTCGTAAATTATAGTTCATAAGTGAATTAGCGTCGTAAGCTTTTTAAAAGCGGTCTAAGGCTCGATTACGCTTATTAGCGTCGTATTAATAACGAGCGTTTACTTTACGCTAATTAAAATATATAATCTTAATAGATTTAGCGTAAGTAGCGGTCGAAAGGTTAAAACGAAGCTAATAGAGCTTGCGGCGAGCGCAATCAAAGAAAATTGTCACGGTACGAGAGCAAGGTCTTCGAATGAGGTCTAAATTGTGTACGAGGGATGGAAGAGATACTAAGGTACAGGAGGAGATAAGTCCATTGTGGGGGTCCGTGCGTTCCTCAGCCTTGGCATTCCTTGGCTGAATTGTTTGTTTCCTCCCTTCACATATGGTCCCTTCTATTCCCTCTCTTCGAGCATCCCTTTCGTCAAAATTAATCAAACAATTAAGCTTCCTTTCGAGCAACAGTAAGTTCTGCTTTAGTAGGTTTTGGCTTTTTGGGGAAGCGTTTTTCGAACTCTAGGATAGAGGACCGTGCGTTGATTACGTGAGAAAGAGGTTCCCAAGTCTTATCTTCTGGATTATATCCTCTCCATAGAATCAGGTATTAGAAACCTTTTGCTTTAGTTCTTTTGGAGTCGACAATAGCTTCAACCGCTCATAGCTTTTCACCATTTGCATCGATAGCAATAGGAGGAGGGGGAGGGTTTTGTTGGCCTGGCAAAGGGTCGGTAGGGGCGGGGCGAAGGAGGTTGGTATGAAAACTGTCGTTCAACTTGTCGTGTTCAAAAGGTAGGTCCAAGCGATAAGTATAAGAGCCTAATACCTCTTTGATCTTGTAACGGCCGAAGAACTTGTGGTCGAACTTCTTGATAGGTCTATCGGTCTTGATGTTGCGGGAGTCAAGGAAAACCTCATCCCTAACTCGGTAAGCAAGGGCTGAGGATCTAGTTTTATTAGCTGCGAATTCTTGAGTTGCTTGGGCCGAAATGAGGTTGGTCTTAAAGAGGGCGAGGATTTGTTCCATTTTATTCACGAAGGCTGTGCCTGCTTTGTTTCCTGCCTGAATTGCAGGTGTAAAAGTAGGTTCGAGGGGTCGGGGGGGTCCGAAGCTAACGCGGGGGTGGAAACCAGTATTGGCGAAAAATGGGGACATCTGAGTGGAGGCGTTCATTACGTTATTAGCTGAGAATTCGGCCATTGATAACCAAGTGGCCTAGTCATCTTGAGTATAATCGGTATATTGTCTGATAAAGTGCTCGAATTGAGCATTGAAAATCTCTGTTTGGCCATCCGTCTCAAGGTGGAAAGACGTAGAAAGGCTAAGTTTGATCCCGAGTTTAAAGCAGACTGCTCTCCAAAGTTCAGAAACAAATAAGGAGCCTTTGTCAGATACGATGGTATCGGGAAGGCCGTGTAATTTCCATACGTTATCGAGAAATAATTGGGCCAGCTCTTTTGCTTTGAGCTTGGTATAGCAGGCGATAAGGTGGCGACCTTTAGAGAAGCGATCAACTACGACCATAACGCAGTCGTAGCCATTGCTAAGAGGTAGAGGGCCGACGAAATCGACTGAGAGGTGGCGCCAGCGTTGATCGGGGAAGGGGAAGGGTTTAAGGGTGCCTTGGTATCGAAGTCGAGAGGTAGTATTACGAGAGCAGCTGTCGCAATTGCGGACGAATCGGGCGCAAGATGCGCTGACATTAGGCCACCAGTAGTCTCGAGATATCACTTCATATAAGGCGTTCTTGCCTGGGTGGCCCGACTCGCAAGAATCGTGGGCAGATTGTAAGAAGAAGGTACGTAGTTCGGTATCCGGGACGTACAATCGACCTCGGAAAAATAATCGATCGTCACGCAAGATGCATTCGGAAAGAGCGATTTCCTTAGAATGAGGGATCCCTTCTTCTTTAGTCATCTCTTTGCTAATGACTTTGAACCATTTGTCGGATTTGTAGCCTTCTTTTAAGAAGCGCATGATTTTCAGGTTTTGAAGCTCGTCTGCAAGGGCCAGTTCGTCCAGGCAGAGAGCTACTTCGGTGTGGAGCTCGGCAGAGGTGAGCTCGGAAAAGAAATCGAGTTGAGCGAAGGCGTTTGGGGAAGAGGTAGGTGTCAATGAATTCGAAATTTGAGGGTCTAAGTTGTCGGTAGAAAAGAAGGCTTGGTTTCGATAAGTGTGACGAGGGTCGGAGTCATCTTGAGGGAGGTCTTGTGATCGGCGTGTAAGAGAGTCAGGTTTTCGGCCTTCTTTTCTTGGTCTGAATTTAATAATAAAATCGAATTCAGAGAGGAACTCACTCCACCGAACCTGCCGTCGGGTGAGTTGTTTTGTGGTCATGAAGTATTCGAGGTTGCGATGGTCGGTCAATACGTATATAAGGTATGAGGATCTCGTAAAGTCTGAACGCCAGCTTTCGAAAGCTCGAACTATAGCGAGAAGTTCTTTATCGTAGATCTCGTAATTGCATTCGGCTGCGTCGTATTTGCGGGACATGTAAGCCACGGGGTGAAGTTCGCCTTTATCATCTTTTTGAGAAAGAATAGCGAAAGAGACGTAATCGGAGGCATCCGTCTCAAGCCAAATCTCACGATCGGGGTCGAAGTGAGAAAGAATCGGTGCTGAAACGAATGCTTCTTTAAGGGTATCGAAAGCTCGTTAGCAAGCGGGGGTCCAATTCCATTTGGATTCTTTCTTAATAAGGTAGACGAGAGGGGTAACGATTCGAGAGAAACCTTTAATGAATCGTCTATAGAAATTTGAAAAGCCTAAGAATGCTTGGACGTCTTTGACATTGACGGGGGCCTCCCAAAAGGTTATACAATCGACTTTGGCGGGGTCCATCTTGACGCCTGTAGTAGAAACAATCAGGCCGAGGTAAGTGACTTCTTGAACTTCGAATTCGCATTTCTTGACGTCCAATTAAAGGCCTGCTTCTTGGACAGCTCGAAGTACGGCCTTGACGTGTGAACGGTGTTCTTCTAAGGTATCGGAGTAAACCAGTATATCGTCGATATAAGCGGAATAAAATATGTCGAGGAAAGGTCGTAGAACATCGTTGATTCGAGCTTAAAAAGTAGCTAAAGCGTTTAACAAACCGAAAGGCATGACGAAGGATTCGAAGAGGCCGTATCGAGTATTGAAGGCTGTAAGCCATTCATCACTATCTCTCATTCGGATTCTATTGAAAGCGTAGATAACGTCCAATTTGGTAAAGTATTTAGCTTTGCTAAGGCGGGAAAAGGTTTCTTGGACAAAGGGGAGAGGGTATCTGTTCTTTATTGTAATAGCGTTCAAGGCTCTATAATCCACGCAAAAGCGGAGGCCTCCGCCGGGTTTCTTGGCGAAGAGTACAAGGGAAGCTGCTTGAGAAGTACTTGCTCGAATAAATCCTTTATCAAGGTTTTCTTTAAGGAATTTGCGAAGGACTAGAAGTTCATCTTGTGACATATTATAGAAGGGACCATGAGGAAGGATGGCGCCTGGTTTCAGCTCGATGGCGTGATCGCAGTCTCTATAAGGGGCGAGTTTATTTGCTTCGTCTTGATCGAAGGCGTTAAGGTGATCGTGGTATTAAGGAGGGACGACTATAGCAGGATCGATACGAGCCTTAGGAGCTAAGGCCTTCCGAATATCTTTAAGGGAGGCGCCGCAAAGGTACATGTCGGCGGCCATGTGGCGTTGCTGAAGTTCGGAAGGTTGAATATCGTCAACTATATCTATAGAAGAAATATATAGTTCTCGGTCCATTTTTTAAAGGTTGGAGAGGTCTGGGATGTGGGGAGGAGGGCTTGGTCGAGAGGTGATGTCGAAGGCGGCGAGGTCGACTTTGAATTCGGTCCTCAATTGTTGGTCAATTTCGTAGAGAGAAGCAGAGAAAATCTTTACTCCCGGTGTGGAAGCTGTAGTATAAAAGGCGGCTGCACCTAGTCTCCGAGGGAGAGGTCCCTTGACAAGGGTTTCAAAGGTCGTAACAAGAGGTGTTGAGCCGCGCACAAATAATTGGTGACAAGTAAGAGGTAAGCAATGGTTTTTGCAAGTCCTACTGTTGAATGTAAGAGAATCAGAGCTCCAATCGATTTGAGGGTTGTGAAAGGCGAGCCAAGGCTTGCCCAGAATAATATCGTATTTGCCGAGGTTAGAAAGGAACCCAGTAATGAGTTCAGAGTGGCCGTTGATATTAAGGTGAAGTTGTGTCTTATAAGTAACGTTCGCTGACGAGAGAGATCCATCGGCGAGTCGTAGAGATCGAGGTTTTAGTAAAGGTTCGAGAATTAAGTTATGAGTTTGCGCAAAAGAGTAATTGATCATCACTTTTCCAGTACACCCGCAGTCAACCATAGCTTTGGTTTTGATGGGAATTTCATTAATTAAGTCTGTTACAATACAAGGAAGAACCAAATGATTCCCAATCGGGGTATCTAAAGAAGAGATGATCAGAGTACTCTTTTTATAAGGTCTCCGACGGCGTCTTCGGTCAGAGACTAAGCTTTTCCTTGGCCCTTTCCTCCTTTGGTGTTCCATGGGGCGGTAAGGCAGGCGGAGCTCGTATGGTTTTTGTCGTAGCACCAATTGCAAAGGCTATTGTTGCGATAATAGACCTTTTTGGCTTCTTTCTCGTTCAAGGTCTTAGGAATACGCTTGGCAGAGGCATCGGCGGCGGTCCAGGTAGCTACAGGGCTCATTTCCATCACGCTGACGTCTATGGCAGTGCCTCCTTGTGTAATGGTAAGAGTAGGAATAGAGGCGGTATATCCGAGTGCGATTTGAAGGATGGCGGAGACCGTGACTGTCTTTTTTTTGAAGTAGTTGGGGTCTTGATTGCGAAGGATATTATCAATACCGCGGACTTATAAGATAAACTCGAGGAGTTTAGTTTTGTGATCACTAGCCGGGATATATGAAAGGCGATTGGTAATGTCGGAGTGAAGGGCGCGCTTGAGGAAAGCGATAGAGGCTTCGTCGCCGAATTAAGCTTCGGAGCAGGTCTCCTGCCACTTAAGGAGAAAGGTGGCGAGGGATCGGTTTCCTTGGACGAGGACGAAAAGGGCTTGTTGGGCGGTGGATTTGGCATTGATGTCACCGAAAGCAGCGTCTAGGATATCGATGATCTCTGACACGCTCTTATAGAGTATCTCGCCACGAATAGAGGTGCCTCCTTTGACTTGTCCCTTAGCTTCGCCGGAAAGGCGGGAAAGGAAATAGGCCATCTTGTCGTACTCGGTAGGGTACCAGTCTCTATTGACAGCGAGTTTGATGCTCATGTCGGTCAAAAACGGGCGGAGTTTTATGATAGTTCCATCGAATTTATCGGGGTCGGGGTGTTCGGCAGATCGATGAGGTCGGTTGGATAAAGGGGAGAGGTTGCGTTGCAAGGCTTCGAGGGTAATGATTTGGCTGGCTAAGAGTGCCTTTTCGGTGTCGAGGGTGATGATTTGTCCTTGAAGGTCGAGTAATTGTCCGCGCAAGGCTTGATTGTCTTCGTAACCATCAGTAAGGAGGCCCGAGAGCTTGGCTTCTACGTCCTTAAGGTAGGCAGTAGCATGTTCGGCATATCCCCACAATACCACAATCTCGGCCGCAACAGCGTTAGGATTCGATTAGAAGGTTGCGGAGACGCTAGCGATGTCAGAACACGAGAGGAGAAAAGGGAAATTGTCTGCAACGAAGATCGGCAAAGGGTTCTCCTGGTAGCTAGGGTCTGAGGTAGCCATAGGATCGTCGGCGGACATCGTTCCGGGGGTGACACGGGCTAAAACTGGAGTAAAAGCTCTGTTTTGGCCTTGGACTTGGTATGCGGGGACGGGTATGCGCGTCGGGGGCATGCGAGAGAGTTTTCGAAGTGTGAGAGGGTTTTTAGGATCGCCAGGTTCGCGCGTTCGTGGACTGCGCTGTATGGCGATTGAGGAAGGTACACAATATATCACGGTACGAGAGCAAGGTCTTCGAATGAGGTCTAAATTGTGTACGAGGGATGGAAGAGATACTAAGGTACAGGAGAAGATAAGTCCATTGTGGGGGTCCGTGCGTTCCTCAGCCTTGGCATTCCTTGGCTGAATTGTTTGTTTCCTCCCCTCACAAAAATCTAATGCTTAATTAATTATGCTCGTTCGAAGATCACGCTATAATTTCTAAAGTTAATAATAAGAAAAGGAATAAAAGATTAAACGCGCTTATTAACCGTAAAGTTAAGAAGTGCAAAATGTAAGATAATAGCTCTACGAGCTCTATTGTATGATTTAACAAAAAATAAAGCTGAAAAGAATTGAATCAAAAGTTTAAAAAAAAAAAAATGATTTAAGTAGCGCTAAGTTAATCAGCGCGTACTTATTAGCTTTTGAATCGAGCAAAGCAGATACTTTATACGAAAAGCTATTTTTGGTAAAGGTAACGGGTATAATTATAGCTTTATTATTAAAGAGCTTCGTAAGGTCGAAGTATTATATATTTTAAAGCTAACTTAAAAAAGAAGCTTTGCTTAAGCTTCGACGTTTCTTTTATTATCGAAAGCGTCGAAGTTAACAAAAAAGAGCTTTTAATAATCTTTAAAAGCGTCGAAGTAAAGCTTATCGTCCGAGTCATCCGAATAAAAGCCGTATTTAAGTTTAGCGCCGTATTCTATTTCGTTAATTAAATAATAGCGAAAGAGCTTCGGCGTATTCGAGTCTTTGCGAGACGATCTAAAGGTTTTAATCGTTAACTTAAAAGCGTTTCCGAAAAAAAAGAATTTATTAAATCGATTAAATCGATTTGTTGGTTACATAATAGGGTGCACACGTAAAACTTGATACGAATGGCAAGTGGTTGCATTCGTACTGTTGTTAAGTCTAAAGGAGGAAAAAAGCTATTCTAGTTGCGAAGTGCAGTTATATATGAGTGGTTGTTATGCTAAAGGTGCACGTGCTAAAGGTGCACGAGCCACACTTATCCTCGATCGAGTTTTTAACTCCGATCCTTTTATTCTTACACTCGCAATTTTCTCTTTTGCAATTGCAATAGTTGCAATTGCAATTGCAATTCTAATACAAGTAAAAATAGCTCTTTTATTCTTAACGTTATCGATAAAAAATACTATCACCGTTCTTTTTATTTTCGGCTTGACTTTCTTATGCTCTCTCCACTTACCTTTCGACACGTACGTTAGCCTTGTTCGTATTAACGAAAGTCGCTAACGACTTATTTGAATTGATTTTCGTTATAAAGTCGGTTAAATTATCTTTTCTTTTAATCCATTTGACTTTTGCGAGCTCTCGGCGCTCGTATGATTGTTTAAAAGCTATAATATCGATCATTAAGCGCTTCTCTTTAATAGTTCCGAGCTTAACAAAGCATTCGTAAAAGGAATATAAGTCGGTACAAACGACTATAAAGACCTCGAAGATTTCTAGCTTGTTAATAATCATTTTAAAAGTAGTAGCTACGCAAATAGCAATATCTATACCGAAGACTATGCTATAGATTTCCGAAGCAAGTACGAAGCGTGTTACTCGCTTGCATTTTGTCGAATTAGCAGCGATGAGGTTCTTTTAAATAAAGAAAGAGCTGTTAAACTTCTTTTCGATTGCTAAGATGATTAGAAAACTAATTTGTAAGCTACAATCTTTGTTATTAGCAAAGCTCTCGTTTATAAATACGAACAGCTTCGCTAAACGTAAGTCGATATTAAAGTATAGTAAACCTCGTTGCTGGTTTTCTATTATCTATGCAATTCTTTTGTTTAAAAAGGTAATATCGTTTAAAGTAAAGTCTTTTTGCTAAATTTGCGCGGCGATAAATAAGTCGAAAATAGCTTCGAGCTGACACAAGCTTGCAATATAAGCTGCACGTGCTCGCTGCTTTAAGTAGTTGTCTTTATTTTCGGTAATAAGCTTTAGCTTCTTTTTTTAATCTTTTTGCTTAAGTAGAATCGAGCTATTAGCGAACTTCTTTAGTGTTCCTTTATTGAATGAATGTTACTTCGTTTTCTATTGTAAGCGTCTTTTTTGATTTAGCGTTAAAATCAGCTTTCTTAAGCTCTTGCTCTTTTAAGTTATTGAACTCTTTGTTAGCTATTATTAGCGTATCGTCTGTTTGTATTTTAATAATAGCGAATTTGCTAATTGTAAAGATCAATAAATAAAGGTCGTATGTAAAAGAGACTATAAATAGCTTATCTTTATAATGTCTATAATAAGTGTCTTACTAATAAGTACTTGCCTTCGCAATCTTGTATAAAGGTCTACGAATTAGTAAGATATAACTCGAAAAGTATAAGTGTTAAAAGTCTTTAAGCAAATACGCTAAGATCATACGCTCGAAGTAACGCTAACTCGACACGTATACTTAAATAATATCTCGTAAAAATACTATTGCTTGATTAAAAGACTTTAAGAATAAGGCTAAAGAAATCATTAAACGCTAGCTATTGCGCTAAATAATCGAAGATTAAGTGAGAATATTATACTTGCTTTCGTCTTTTTAAGCTTGAATAACAAAGCGTGATTTTTCGTATAGTTCGAAAGTATTCTTGCTTTTAACTTTATCGACTATTCGAAAGTTGAATATGCGGCTTGTTTCGTAGATTGCAAAGTTGTATTCTATAACTTCAAATACCTTTTTCTTTATTAAGCTTTTTAGCTCTTAAAAGCGTGATTCTACGAATTGCTCGTTAAGCGTAATAATAACTCTTTCGTTTCTAAGCTTCGTAAAGAGCGCAACATTAGCTTTTTCTTTATAAGTAAAGAATATTATAATAATATTACTCTCGTGATTAAGAAATTGCTCGTTAAAGTGTTTGAATTTCTTTATACTTGCAAAAAAGTGACGAAAGCTATAGCGAACTATTAAATTGCCTTTCGGTTTTCGCGAGCGTGATCTAATCTTAATAGCTAAAATAATAAGTTATCTTATAAGCTAGACTAATAGTAGTTCAGCTTTAGTTAACCGATTCGATAGCAAGGATTCTTTAAGATTTAGCGTGTTTAAAAGTGATTTATAATATAGTTTGACAACTATTAAGCGGAATTCGCTAATACGGTCGTTTACGAGTACTTTGCAGGTCTCGTTTTCACGTGCAATTAGCTTATGAGGTCTAGTCCATTCGCTTTTGCTTAGTTTACTTTTTACCTCTTTATAAATTCTAACGTTTGATTGCAAAAGAAAGTTAAGGGTTTCTAAAGTATTTGGTTCATTTCGCATTGCTAAAGCGTCCTTGACTTTTCTTTTAGCTTATAATCGACGAATCTCTTTAGTTGCAGCTCGAAAAGCTTCTCGTCTTTTTGTTATAAACAATGCTAAAGAATCTGTCTTAAAAAAGCGTAAGTATGCGCCGTATACGAGCAATGTAAAGACAATACTTTCGAGGCCGGTTGTATCGTTAATAGCTTTAAAAGCTATTTAAAGTACTATATGCTTGTTAACTCTTTCACTTGCTAATTCCTTTTTTAAAATATTATATATTCTTCGGAAAAGGTTATAGTAGCGCTCTATTTTTCCGACGTTATTGTAAGCTTCTATTAAAACTACTTTGATCTTAATATTTATCGAATTTGCTTGTTATTTAAACTCTTAAAAGCTTAAGTTGGTTTTAACGTCTATTACGATTACATCTAAGAGGCTTAAATACGTATCGATCTAATAATAACGTACTATATTTTATACGTGTTTTGCAATTATATTCTTAAAGAATCTTTTAAAATCGTAGCTTATAGCTGAATCTACGATATGTAATACGAGGTCTTCGTTAATATATATGATATTAATAATAATCGAATAATTGAATTTATACTCATCTTTTAAAGAGATTTTGAATCTGCGAAAGGCTTGCTTATATAGTTGACACTGCGCATAGTATTTAGTAATCTTCTTGAAGATGTCGGTTTCAAACTTTTTACTTATAGCTTTAAAAGTAGTAGCAAAACGTTGTATTAAAAGGTGTTTTTAGCGGCGATGAATTTAACGCAATTCTCTTTCGGTGAAGTAGTATATAATAGTTTCTTGCTGATTGAATAGTAAAAATAGATAGTTTTATTTTCTGACAACTAGCACGCTGTTGTAGCTTTGCATAAGCAAGTTTTTTAGATTGTTAAAATATACGCTAAAAGAATTTATATCTTTTAAACAAATTAAAAAAAAGGTGTTAGTATTAATTATATGAAAAACAATCTTACTAATTAATATTTGTACTTTTACGGTTCTTTTGATAATAGTCGAAGTTTCGCTGAAGCTAATAATACTTCTTTAAGTAGTAATCACTTATAATTCAAGTAAATAATGCTAAAAAGCTTTTACTTATGCTTCTTTTGCAAAAGATTTACTTGCAGCTTTCGAATCGAAAAAGAACTTTTAAAATCGATAAGCTGAATATCGAAAGTATAAAATGTAAGTCTTTAATAGAACGGTCTTATCTTCTTTAATTGAAGGGTTTATAGCGTCTAAGGTAATGAAAGCGTAATAAGTTAAGCGTTTTTATAAAATTGCAATAGTCTCGGCGCTTATCATCTCTTTAGCTTCGGTGAGAAAAGTTTAAGTGAAGTAATTGCGGTCACCGTGATCGTATTCGTCGTACTAATAGTTTTTAATAACGTATATTACTTGATCTTAATAATTTTCTTCGTTTGAAATACCTTTTACTCTTTCGTAGTCCGCTAAAAAGCTTGCAAAATAAGCTAAGGTCATTAGTTGAGTAGTATAGTATATAGCGCCTTTCTTATACTCGTTGTAAAAGCGTTTTCGTTTTTCGAAAGAGTGTTTAATAAACTAACAGTCGGGCTTGCCGCAAATAAAGCATACTTTAAGTTTCTTACTTCTTTTACTGCTTTCGCAAAAGCTTCTATTTCTTCTTTTACGTGCAAAACCTTTATTCTTACCTTTGCTTTTATTACCGCGATTATAGCCTCCTTTTGAACTACGGTTGTAGCTCTTACTTGATCTTTTGTAGTTTCGATCGGTATAATAAGTCTCGTGATTGCAATTGCTATTGCAATTATAGTCGAGATAGCTTAAAGTATTATATATAATAAAAAGGGCTGTGTATTCGAGTACTTAGCGCTCTTTTTAAATAATGCTAATTGCTAATCTCAATTGAATAGCAACTTTTTCGTATATATTAGCTAGGTTGAATATTATTAGTTTGCATTCCTCGACTTTATTGCAAGCGTTAATAAGTTGATCGCGCAATACGTTATCGGTCTAGTATTCGAGTATAAAGCTTTGCTAACAGCTTTTTAAAAGCTTTATCGTAATCTTTAAGCACTTTAATCGAGTCTTCTCGATGTTCTTTTTGTTTGCAATAACACTAGCGAATATAATAGTTCTTTACAAGCTTATATAATGCTTTCGGTTCTTATTAGTTTCGAAGTGTTAAGCTATAAAGTGTGTTATAGCTTCGAAAGTGTAGCTTCTGCTAGCTATTTGATCGATGTAGTAAGCGTCTGCTGCTCCGGTAAGCATAATAAGGAAAGCTTTAGCGTATAAAGTAAAAAGGATGTCGCATGTTTCGCACAAGCTATAAAACTTCTTTAGCTTTACGAAAAGTATATCTTATATTCCTTTATTGTATTTAAGCTCCTTTTTATATCTATACATCTTATTAAGTCCGTTAATCAATTGCGCTAAGCTTGATCTCTAGCCTCTTTTAGCTGATTGATCAAGGTCTCTTTTATTATTATTTCTACTTCTTTTTCTTTTACCACTTCTTTTTCCACTTTTTTTTCTATTTCTTCTTCTACTTCTTCTTTTACTTCCTTTGTAATTGTCTTTACGGTAAAAGTCTTTCGTATAATTGCTTTTACTATTATCACTTCCGCTTTTACTTTTATTTGCTCTTCGTGCTTGAAGTTCGCGATGTTCGAAGATAAGTAGTACGTAAAGTTGTTTATAAACTAATAAGTTAAGTAAAAGTCGAGACAAGATCGAGTGAATCGGTGGTAAAAGTTATAATCGAAAGTCAAGAAGTAGTCGAAGGTCAAGAGTGAACTCTTATTGTCTTTGCTATTGATAAAGTTGCTTATCGAATAGTATATCGAATTATATATTATTCGAAAGTAAAGGTCGATACAGTTAAGAGTATATCGGTAAAGAGGATAGTCGTGTAATAAGTTGTATCAGTGTAAGAAGTGTAAAAGGTAAAGAAGAAGGTGAAGGTTTGACGGCAAGTCTGTATGTTATTAAACTAAATCGCTTTTTTCGTTTTGCTTTTTCGTGAAATAGAAATATAAAAAATGTCGATCTATAAAATAGTTTAGCAAAAGCTGAAGCATAACTTACATTATTTTTTAAATCTTTTATCTACACGTAATAGACGAAGAAGTGATTATATAAGTATCTTAAGATTGTGATGTGACTTAACTTAAATAATAATTCAATTTATCTTTCGAAAAAGCTTTAGTATATCTCTTACAAATTGTCACTTGTAGCGTAGCGA